AGTGGATCATACCGAGAAACCATTGGATGCCTTGTGAAATTGTGCTCTAATCTGTCTATGTTACTCTTGGGTTGTGCTTATTCGACTTGTAGTTGTGTTCAACCAATCTTTGTGTTTGCTAGCTGCGGAGTTTATTGAGATGTTCTGTCAAACTCTTCCACTACCTGAAGGCTGGAACCCATAAGAGAGCTGTAGTCCAACTCCCAGAACCAAGGTTGTTGTCCAACTTCCAGCTATTGGCCAGGCGATTAGTGCACCAACTAAAACTGCTAAAGATGGTAACGGTGCCTACGAGTTGGCCTTGTCAGCCAGTTCCCGAGTGCACCCTCTGTTTCACATTTCCTGGCTGAAATTGTGTCGATCCATTGTGCCTCCTGCTACCCTGCAGTTGCCTGCATTAGATGCTAATGGTTCCTTGAAGCTTGCACCACAACAGATTCTGGCTAGGCGATTTGTGAACAAGGGAAACTAGGCTGGGATGCAATTTCTTGTGCAGTGGACACTCCAGCTACTAGAGGAAGCTACTTGGGAAGCCTTGCTCTCCTTCAAGGCACAACATCCTACTTTTCCATCTTGAACACAACTTGAGAACAAGCTGAGGGGGAGGGTTTGTAACAACCCAAACCAGCTTTCAAGTGTATAAATAGCTAAAGTCCACCTGTTAGGACTATCTTTTGGACTAGTCATCATTTTGTTAGCAACTTTCCATTTTAGTTGATAGCTATAGCTCTGCAGAACGTCCCTATATTTCTTTCCCTTCATCCTCTCGACAATTTCCTCCATTCTTCCATTCTTTCGCCAGATTCTCATAATAAAGGTTCTTACAAGTGGTATCAGAAGCCTGTAATCTGGCTATGGCAACGCATACTTCGTGACTCGTCAACTTGGAGAAACAAATGGTCTTCATTTAGTTGCAGATGGATTTCCAGCATCAAGATCTTAAGGATGTCATTGCTCCTCTCGCGGCTTGAACGAGGGAGCGCTTCGCCGCACTCACTGCTTCTTTGACACGAAATCAGGAGACATCACCGATTCACTCACCACCACCATGTCACAATTACGATCATCACCCTGATCATCATCACTTCCGGCATAAGCTGTGTCGGCCGTCAATTGTGGATCTCTGTCCTCGTCTCGATTTTCCCTATTTCTTAGGCTCAGATGCTCTGGTGTGGGTGAGCAAATGTAACGAACTCTTCCTGCTTTACTCAATTTCGGAAGATCAGAAGGTCGATTTGGTTTCACACTATCTAGAAGGGCAAGTTTTCCACTACTCCTAGTCACTGTGTTGTAATAGCGTCGAGCCATCGACGACTAAAACTAGTTGGGGGACGTCTCGTGGTACCTCTTTATTTTTTGACTCGTTGCCTCCTTTTGCTTAAGGTCAAGGACCCTAAAATCCTTCCATTATCATAGCTACTGGCGTCTAATGATTGTAGCTCTTTCTCCGGAGATTCATATTTCCCAAGTTGTTTATTTTTGCTTATTATATCCTCCCCTTGTTGCCTAGTAGTAGAATTCTAGTACCACTCCTTCAACTCCCTCAAAATTCTTGAGGTATTTCCTTACGATTGATACCTCTTCTATTAGAACTATATTTATCTACCTTCATACGATTAGAGTAGACTGGAGATTCTATAGACTCTTAAAAGAAGATCATTGACTCATTTTCCTTTTGTTAGAACAAAAGAATTTAAGACTGAGACCGATATTCCAGTATTCATTGGACATCAAGGAACAGAGGAAAACCAGGCTCTGATACCAAAATAAAACACCCTAACCCGCCCGGGTACTACTTTTACTAAAATACCCTTGATAAATCATAAACCAAAATAAGAACCGAAAAGAGTTGGAAAAATAGCAAAAGCTTTTCATAAATAACTTTAACGTTTGCTGAAGTAAACTGAAATCTATTAAGAGCAAAAGCCCTAACACTTGGGCAAACCTCAACCATAGCATCTTAATATGAATCTCCAGTCTATACTCATAAACGTAAAGAATTAACTAAAACTCTACTTTGTTATCTGCTCGGATTCGATTTTTGGCACCTTCAGTGACGCTTGTACTATCCTCCTCTAGCTGGCTTGCCTCGAACGGTTCCATCGATCTCGATGCTCTCTAACTGCTCCTCTAGCTAGCTACTATCGATCTGGTTCTCGTTCATTCCTTTACTAAGGCCTGGTGAGTGAGATGGGGTCAGTCTACGCTCTTATGTTTAAAATTTATTATACTTGAGTACTTTGCTTAAACACTTAACTTTAACTGGTGGAAGTTGTTTATACTTCCAATCTTAAATTCTCAACTCTTCAAACTGTATGGGAGTTACTGTTACTTTCCATTCTTAAAGCTCAAATCTCGACCTAAATACTTGACTGACACGGGGATCCCTCACTAGCTAGTCTGGTTGCCAACTCATACGTATGAGAAGCCATCGAGGCTTCCCTTAAACTTAAACTTATCATGGAAGGCTCTTCTTCCACGATCATCTTAAAAATCTCAAGAGCATAACTGCTGCTCAACTTAAATATCTCAAGAGCATAACTGCTGCTCTGTCTCAAAGATCTCAAGAGCATAATTGTTGCTCTATATGAAAATCTCAAATGGCAACGGACTGGTGCTTGTGACTAAAAACACTTAAAACGACTTCACCTTCTTGAAGGTGAAGTATTTCTTAAAACAAAATTACTTGTTCTTACCTTTAACAATCACTCATAAACATAAAGCTTTAAGGCAAACAGCACACATTCACTATAAACCACAGCTCAAACAAGCACATATCATCAATCATGCATAAACAAACATAGCAACACTTCACAAAAATACTGAAAACTCTAATACTTGAAAGAATACGTAAGACGTAGAATTTACCCTCTTTACACTCACCTTATTAATCGAGTCGAAAAAAAACTCAAATTGAACTCCATGTTCGATTGGTATTTCTCCGATGAACAAGTGGTCCCTATGAACCCCGCATGTGTGCCTCAATCTTGATGTAACGCTGTCGAACCCTGACCTGTTCTTGCTTTTCTATCCAAGTCGAATTTTACACAAAAGCAACCACCAAAAGTTACTTTTAGATTCCTAATTGTGTATTTCAATTAGATTTGCTTAAAGCGTCTTATCTCCCACTTCAGAATCACCTCCCACCTTGCTAAACATAACCCCTTCAAATCTTGAAGCTGCTCACATATATAAATCCCTTCATATAGTACAATCAGACGTTGGTCATGAATAATTCCTACCGCATCAATATATAATTCCTTTACCAACTAGTTAATTCACTTTTCCATTATCCCCAAGATACGTTCCCATCCCCATGCACAAGAGTCCAAAATTCCCCACCAATCAAACCCATCCTGAAGGAAATTCAAACGACCAAAGCTAGATTAAATCCCCTACCTGTATCTGCTTTTGATCCATTGTACAGAATCCCCTCCCAGAGAAACCTGCATAGCCTTCATATGCTCCGGAAATTATTCACTCCATTCGTTGGTCCCAAAGCCACCTTCGCCGCGGCTGAGTGTGGGATGGCGGCCGCTGCGCTGCTTCTTTTCATTTTCTCTTCGGACTAAGCTGGGGAAGAATAATCAAGGGGCTGGGGGGTTTTGCGTGGGGAGAGATGGGGGATTTATTGGTGTGGAAGGGTTTTGGATGTGTGGAGTTGGGGAAGGGTTGAGGGCCGCTCGGCCCTCTTGGCCGAATAATAATTAACCCACGATTGTAACCCTCCGTACGTAATCGTTGATTCACCCGTTCATGTATTATGGTCGAACCAGAACACAAACGTCGGGGTGTAACAAAGGCCCTTATAACGATTGTGATTATCGATCAATTGCTTGTATGTCTCGACCTCGGGCTGTCACTGTGATCTCAAGAGCGGCCTCAAATTCTGGTGTTGTAATCTGTCTGTGTTACTCTTAGGTTTGTAAATGGAGTGGCCCTGTTCATAGCTTGGAAGGACCCTACACGACTTGGCTTCACGGAACATTGGTGTTCAAGCAGCTTCTGGGTTTTGATTAAGAGCCTGATGAAATACTCTGGACAGGGTGAGTGTCGCTGTGTCTGGATAATGGAGGGAACTGCAATTTTCCAGACCGAGGATGCCATTCTTGCACTGTTTGAAAATCTGGTTGGCCTCAAGTTGCCGACAAAATCTGTATCCGAATTCACACCATCTTGAGCTGATGAAGAAATCATAGCCAAACAGATTCATGTGGTTGTGTTGCTTTGCTGGTGTGCGTTGGTGCTGCAACTACTTGTCCTTGTTAGCAATTTGAAGAGAATTCGTGTTTTTCTACATATCCATAATTGGCAAGCAACGGTTTTTGTTGTGGTTCACTAGTCAGGACATTTGCATATTTGGACTATGTTGTCAATTGTCATTATTTCCTCTTAATGATACTACTTTCTGGGTGCTTGATCCAAGGTACAGTACCTCACTTTTCCAGCTTGAACACAGCTTGAGGACAAGCTGTCTTTGAAGAGAGAGAGAGAGTTTGTAACAACCCGAGCTGCTGGTGTGATGACATGTGTAGATAGACAAGTATAAATAGTTGTTAGGCGAGTGGTAGCTTTTGACCAATTGTAATTCTGTTAGCACTTTCCCAATTGTAATTCTGTTAGCACTTTCCCCTCTTTTACGCATAGCTTTAGCTCAGTAGAACAGCTTGTAGGACAATTAGCTTTTCCTCAATTATTCTTCCTCTATGTATCATCTCCATTCTTCCATTTCTTTCCCAGATTAATCCAATAAATAGTCTTGCTCTGCAAAAGGCTACTCCTTTACAAGTTTGGATTCTGCCCCGCCTGCTCCCTCACCTCTATCCCAGCATGGACTAACCTAGTCTGTTTATATATGTACCTCGCCTGGCTGCATCATATACGCACCAATATAATATGTGTATCTCCTTCTTGTCCCTTGTCTATTTCATGATGTATCCAGTCTACTCAAACTTGTTCAACCAACTTCTTTGAGCGCTAATGGTCTGATCAAAGGTCAATCACTTCATAACGTTTTATACACAAACTCTACTGTTTGTTTATAACTGTGTTGAGTCAGGATGACATTAATACTTTTAAGTAAAAACCCAACCCAAAACAAAAAAATTAAACTATTTTACGCAACAAAAAATATAATATAACTAGTTAAGATTTCAAACAAATAAAGCAATGTGAAAAGTATCAAAATGCATGGATGTTAAGGGTTGTCTCGCCAAACATTTCCCCTCTTCCTCAAGAGGTTGTTCTCCATAATTCATCAGCCCTCTGTTGTCCTGTCGGTGGTGGCTATCCTTTGGCGGATTTGGAAGTCTCACAATTGGGTTGTCTTTGAAGAAGGCAAGCAATTTGGTTTCCCTGCCTTGATGCACCAATATCACCAGCAGTGTGAGGAATGCGAGCGTTTGCACGTAGATTGTATGACTCCAAGTCTGACTCCTATTTTCCATCCAACAGGGCTGCCTGAGGCTCCCTCGATTGTGTGTATGTGGGATGGGGCTACGAGAGTTGTGTGAGTCTCATTCGGCTGGAGGGATGGTTCCTCTTGGCCCTCGTAGGGAGATCCTTCTGACCCAAGAGACCCAGTTTCGGTCTATTGATGATCCTCTGGTGGTGGAATCACTTGACATCTAGGACGCTATCTTCTGGTGCGTGGCCAATGGCGTCCTGGACGTGAGATTTGAAGGCGATGCCAAGGTCATCATCGACAAGATCAATCAAGCGGATACCAGAGATAGTAGGGTTGGGGTTATTTTGGACGAAATTGTGCAGTATTTTGAGACTCACTCTGGGTTTGGCTTATGATTTGTAGGTCGGAATAACAATAGGGTAGCTCATGCAGTGGCTAGAAAGGCCCTTACTTTGTACCCGTCTACGTGTTGTTCTTTTAATTTTTAGGCCTGGCTGCATTCCAGTTCCTATCTTGAATCAATATATGATTATCTTTTATATATATATATGGATTTTAAATCAATGTAATTTGCTTCAATATATGTCTAATTTTTTCCACACGCTGTGTTATTCTTCTAAACTTGTAACAAAGATATTACGTGAAACATTGCCTCTATTAACTCGAGTCTAAATTTTTAGGTCGACGAAGGCATTAGGTTGGGGAAACCACAAGAGAAAAATATGACAAAATATATTAATTTTCTCACAAACATGCTTATATACGATATAAATATGTTTTAGATATGAACAATTATGACTGTAGTTTGGACATAGTTTGGGTCGAATTCTACCAGTTGATTAACCCAAAATTCGCATTCACCCAAAAGAAACGGGTTGTACAAAATAAAATATTCACCCAACGTTAAACCTTAATATTAACGATAAATACGAATGGGTTGGGTTAGATTGGACGGGGTCGGTTTGCGGTTCTTTTTGTTCACCAACCCTAATAATGTGTGCGTGGCTATTTTTATTAGTGCGTTTAAGGATGCTGATATACTAAACTGATTCAGTAATGGGTCTTAACCAAAACCAGAAAGTTGTGCCCAAGTGACCCAGACTCCAGCAACAGAGCAAGTTGCCTTGAAGCTTAGCCGCTCCCTAAGCAGGAATTATAGTTTATTAAGTTATCCTATCTCTACTGCTGATAAACTATAAACATACCAGGATTACTAGTTGATATTAAAATTGCCAACATCATTAACCACCTTCATCATCTCTCCAACACCGAGCTTGTCCTGCATCTGGTTTTATTATCAGATTAGAATAGCATTAAGGAAGAAGCAATGCCCAAACAATCACATCAATGTTAATCATAAACCCAGTTGTTGATAATCAGTTTAATCAACAAAGATAACTACAGAGTTTTGGACCCTTCCTAGCCACATGATGCACCAGAGAACACGCCAAGTCACACAGTCACACCATTCAGAAGAAAGATGGGAGCATTGCTAGATATGGTGAAATCTGAACCATCTTGCATACAAGAAGCTGCAGAGAAGACCATTCGCAGTGAATAATGTGAAGGATAATGATTCAGGGTTTAAGATAACCACGAACGAGCAAATCCTTGATACGACATGGCAGATGGCTCGCAATGGCCAAGATGGTCGAGTACATGCCTGACGAGAACCATGCTGGGGGATGTTTCTTGAGGATGGCAGCAACAGTATGCTTTGCAAATGTTGCGACAGGAGTACCTACTGTGCCTTGGGAGGCTAATCGTCTCATTGCTGGGTCAAATGGCTTGTATAGATTCCACTCAGATTTATAGTTACTCTGAGCCGAGTGCAGTATATTCGTCTGAATAGCACCTGGAACTACATTTATCACATCGATCCCCAATGGCTTCACTTCTAACCTGCACCCGGGCAACAACAAAAAACCGTAAACTTTTGCAGACATTTACTTCAATCGAAATGTACAACGAGAAGCCTCGGGGAGTAAACATCAGCATTGGCAACTAAAAGTCTTAGGGAAAGGGAATTTAGTTCTGCATATTGGATATATGTACTGACCTCAACGTGTCGGTTAAAGCATGGAGTGCAGCCTTAGATGCACAATATGGCCCGCTCCAAGGAAAAGCCACCAGGACTACAGTACTCCCTACATTTACGATTTTCCCCTTTCTTCGGGATGCCATGTGTGGAACAACAGCTTGAATCATCCGCATCGGGCCTGCAATGCATAAAAATCCAGTTGAACTGCAACATTTAGCTAAAAACAGAAAGGGTGATGTCCTGACTTTCCTCAATGACGGTATAGCCTCAGAGGATGGTGCTACTCACTTGTAGAAAATACGAGATTGAAGTTTCGATTTTATAACGAAAAGAGAGGGAAGGCTAGTACCAGTTTGGGATGCTGGTCAAGTAATTACAAATTCCTACTTCTGAAACTTAATTGGCCATAGACTTATGTGAACCAAATCCCAGACATCGTGCCTGGATCTGTTAGAGAGTGGTATAAGATCCATGATTGAATCTCTCCCAATAACTCGAGTTATTGGGACCAATTGGTTCTTGACATGGTATCAGAGCCTAAAACCGAAAGGTCATGTCTTCGAATCTCCACGACCCCCAATATTAACCGTTGTCTTTCAAGCACATGGTATGGTGGGCCTGTGCAAACTTCAAGCCCATGGGTTGGCTTTCGTTTGAGGGGGCGTGTTAGAGAGTGGTATAAGATCCATGATTGAATCTCTCCCAACAACTCGAGTTATTGGGACCAACTGGTTCTTGACAGGATCAATGTATCATAAACAGTTTCTGCACAAGTGCATCAACTAGTAATAGGAAGACAAAAGGGAAGTTATAGCCAAAATTGCTAGTGCATGAAACGGTCATGGGATGGTAGAGTTTCCAGAGAAGGCATAATGGCCTTCATTTGGGATGAGATACTTAAGCCTTAATCACGCACGAACTTGTAGTTGTATATGCCACTCTGCAGTTGCTACTTTTCTATTCGTAGTCATGATGAAGAACTCCACAATAGAGTCATAGACTACTAGCAATTGTTAATCTTAATTAGTTGTTCTCTCAGGATACTACAGAAAGTGGTATATGATAGGAAATGAGCACTTTTCGTTCTTTATGGGTTGAAAACCATCCAATTGATTATCAAAAGACTACGATTCATGCGAGACACCAACACATCACAACCTTTCACAGGTCGAACACACATTAAAATCATTCGATTCTCGATCGAACGCATAAAGATGGTTCGTACTCCGTAAACTTGATCCTTGAAGAAGGATAGCCGAATTTCCTCCTCAAAGCTTCTAGGATGACAACTTCTTAATATTCCATGTCACCCTCACCAATTAAGAACGAACACAGGAAACCCAATTTTAAGCTCTGGCCTGGAGCAACAACCACTCAACCAACCACACTAAACAAGGAAAACATGTCAAATTTCAATTAGCATGTCTACCATCCGAAAGGGTACTAACTGATTCGATTCAAAAGCACAGAAATGGGTGGTGAAGAATTACCATAAACGTTGGTATCGAAAACCTGCTGCAAGGCAGACAGAGGGACCTCAGCAGTTGGGGCGATGCACTGAACGCCGGCGTTATTGACCAGAACATCCACTCTCCCATACTTGTCGATGACGTTTGCCACCGCCCGCTGCACGCTCTCCTCGGAAGTGACATCGAGCTCCAGGAGATAGAATCTGTCGTCCTGCTCCAAGTCTCGCATGGAGCTCAAAGACCTGCTGGTGGCGACGACCAGGCAGTTATTAGCAGCGAACTCTTTAGCCAGGGCGTGGCCAATGCCTCCCTGCGAGCAGCCGGTGATCAGAACCACTTCTAGCCCGACAGAGTTCATTTTAGGGTTTCAGAGTGAAGAATCGCTGGAATGTAGGGGAAAGGGTTGAGAAGGGATTTTGTACTGGAAGTGGTGGGGAAATGGAAAGGCGAGAATCCTCGCTGCTGACTAGTATGGTATGGAGCGGACTTTTGACTTCTGTGATTCCGACAGCTGGTTTGGTATCGGCGGCCGGCCGGTGGAGAGAGCGACATTTCTCCTGACAGTTACGGCGGGAGCAGCGGAGCAATAAATTCTAGAAAGTCAATGCATCAATCGAAGGCCAAACTCATGACATGATTGAGATCTAAGAGTGACTACAAAATCAATTACATATATGCCATGGGTAGTTACGTAAATGAATTAGAGACATATTCAAAATAAAATTTATACTATCTATAATTTAACTAGCACATGGCCCGGACGGTTGGTCGGAGAACTTTGTAGAGGAATATGATGTATAATAATGAAAATAATACATTTTCAAAAATGATCCAACTATGCATAATGTGTTTAGACCCATGAAAAGAGAAAAGAATATAATATAAGCATCACATATAATTATCGAATAAAAAATAAATATAACTAATTGTCATTCATTAATTTATTAAACCATATACTTGAATATTAGAGTTGCTTCTCACAATACATACATAATCAACCTTTAGCATGAAAGAAAATGTCTCTCATAGAGTTGAGTATGTCCTTTAAGTTTTTCCCAATAGAGAGCATTCTTTTTTACCATACTGCTGGTAATGAATTTGAAGTTACTTTGATTTGAAGTATACAGGACATGATGTTAAGTTGTCAATATTAGTTAGTTGGGCAATGTGTTGTGTACGGACTTACCAAATTTTTCTCAGATGACATGTCTACCAATAATGTAGTAATTTCATGCAACATATATTTTTTTCATGAAATAATCATGAAATATATGTTACTCATTAAGTTGATGAATGAGCGAGGGTATGAGTAGAATACATTTATTTTAAAAAGATAGAAGTTGCAAAATGTCTTTTGGGTTGAATTCTACATTATCGTGAAGTGACTTATGCTTTTTTGCAATAGATAGTTCAAAATGTGATTTTTAACTTTTGTTTCCACCGGTGTAAAAGAAGGATTATAAAATCGTATTGAAAAACTTGGTGGTAGAGTACTTTATACTTACGCCATAATTTAACCATGGTTTCAAGCGTTTCATATTGCTAAATATCACCTAGCGATTTAGCCTACGGTGTGAATTTTTATGGTCGAACAACCGGTACGTATGATCTTTTAATTCAAACTTTAAATAAAAAATCACTAAAACATTGACATTATCAATACTCTTTAAAAATAAAAAATTAGAATAATCGTATTAAGAAAAAATCATCCAAACGATAATATTGATTTAGAATTTCAAATTGAAATAGAAAAAAATCTGTCAAATATGATGTCATCTCCTAAAATAAATCAAAACTCAACAGAATAAGGCCAACAATACTCACTAAGCAAACCAGAAGGACAATTATTTCACACTACCTCATTTTCCCCTCTCTTATTTAAATGTGTCATCTCACTCTCTCTGTTAGAACAGAAGCGTGGCAATCGGTAATCCAAACCAACACGAACGAACACAAATTTAACGTGGTTCACTAACACAATGTGTGCTAGCTAATCCACGGGCAAGGGAGAACAAATTTCACTGATTTTGAGGAGAGTACAGGTTACAAACCAAATTCCAAACGGACAAACCAAACAAGCTAACCTGACTGACCTTACTACAGACTAGGGTGATGAAGAGTATTTATAGAACTCTTCTCCTAATTCCAAACAGAAAACACCTTTTCCCAAACATACAAGGAAAGGTCAAAACAAAACCCAATCCAAACCCAAACAGAATAGGCCTAAAACACAAAATAAATCCAATCAAATTCAAGTCATATTCTAACAATCTCCACCTTGACTTGAATTCTCTGTCAAATACCAGATGTATCAAACGCAACCAAAGTTGACAGATGTACCCAAACGCGATACATATCGCCAGACGTATCCAAATTCGATCGAAACAATTTTAGTTATCTAAAGAATCAAAATGCATAATTAGGGTCATCTTAACTTATTTACATGTATTTGTCGTACAAATTCATTACACATAAAAATTGGTTTGAACCGGCATTATCAATCTAAATCTCATCTTATGATTATTGGATCCAATCATGTCAGATTAGCAAGAGGTCTAAGGCTATCGGTCAACCGGGCTAAAAATTAATACTAATTTAAGAATTATGTATCCCTTCTAAATGTTCAATACTTCAATTCAATATAAAATTTTGAAAAAATCTCAATTTCTTCCTCACTTTACTTGCTTCTAAAGTTATTGTTGACGTTGTTTGTTATTATTTATTAATGCAAGCTGTAAAAAAGACTTTTCAGCTATAAATTTAATCAAGAATTATTTTATAAATTACATATTGAAAAAGGTTTGAGTCTCAAAATAAACATTGAATGTATTTTTTAAACCTTTTTGTCACACATTGATGTGAAAAACTACTCATTAATTCAAATTTTATATGTTATTTTAAGAATATTTTGTTTTATTTTTATCAAATGATTCATTTGTTCACAAAACATGAGTTCAGCGATATAGACTCTGTGGTGCTCGCACTTGTGCGCAAGCCCTTGACTTTTAAGTCTGAGACAACCCATGAAACATTCATACTTGTACAGGGTCGATCCATATATATCGTACTCATGGTATGCGCTAACTATGTCGTGCTAGTTCGACCATGTACCTGGATATAGTTATATCTTATATGCATTCTAATAATTAAGTTTCTACCCACAATACCAAAATAAATAAATAAACAATCATAAATGCACCCAAATTTGACTACCTGATGAAATACTACATATGAACCAACTACTATTAATGTCACAAATAATAAGTATGCCTCTAAATCATACATAAAATATTTCAAACATCACAAATATTAAGATTAAATTCATTATTATAAATATTAAAATATACTTATACATTTTGTCTAAACTAAAGTGCACATACAATTTAATAGTAATGTTTGAATCAATGTTACTTAAGTTTTGATTTCAAAACTAATATATCTCTATAAAATATAATCATAGAAGCATCAAACATATTTCTAAAGTTTAATCAAAGAAATAACAATAAATACAATTTAGTCGAGTTGGTTATAAATATAATACTCTTTCTTCATTTATTATAAGTGACCAAGGTTCGAGCTCTAATGATAACATTTTAAATATATAAAGATAATTTGGATGCAATGACAAAAATAAGCTTCCGAGAATCACTCTCAGTCCACGAAATTTGAAATGAAACAATTTCAACACATGTTTTGCCTTTATAAATTTTGTAGACAAAATATAACACTATAACAAAATGGAAATTTTTCATATTTCTTATATAAAAGCATTGGTTAAGAATCTACTATTCATCAAGAGATTCTGCCCCACCTGCTCCCTCACCTCTATCCCAACATAGACTAACCTGGTCTATTTATATATATATATAACTTGCCTGCCGAAAAAAGTCCAAAATACACATATTTTTAAAAACATTTCTCAAAATACACATGTTAGTGCATCACTGCGGTCGTCAACAGCAGTGAACGCATTCACCGCGACAGACGAAAGCGGTGAATGCATCACCAGGGTTGACTACCGCGGTGAATGCCTGACGTAACATGAAACTTCAAACGAACGTAACTTTGCGCTCGGTTATCCGATTAGCTATTCTTTTTACAACGCATAAATTTTCAATCTTTCCATCTGCAACAAACCTTCATCCCAAAAAAATATTGTTTGCTACCCCGAACAGACAATTTTTTTATTTTTCCAAACTTCGGAAGACCGTAACTTTTTGCTCCTCAATCCCAACGCCATAAAGTTTTTTTGGTGCGCATAATATTTTAAGAACTACAACTTTTACTAGGAAAAAATTTTAAAAAAATAAATATTTTTGGTTATACAGGATTTTGGGAACAACTTTGCATTTACTTTTCACAAATCCACATACATTCCAAAATTATGGTTATGATAAAAGTTGTAGTCCTTAAAAAGTTATACGAAATAAAAAAAAGTTCCATGACAATCGGATTGCGGAGCACAAAATTATGGTCTTTGATAGTTTGTCGAAATCCAAAAATTGCTCGTTCGGGTACTAAACGATATTTTCTTGGGATGAAGTCTTGTTGCAGATTGAAAGATATTGAATAGTTATGTGGAATAAAAAAATTTCGCTACAATTGGATAACCGAGCACAAAGTTACGTTAGTTTGAAGTTTCGGTATTAGGTCAGACATTCACCGCTGCCGTCAACCGCGGTGAAGCATTCACCGCTTTCGTCAGCCGCGGTGAATGCATTCACTGCGGTAGACGACTGCGGTGATGCACAAACATGTGTATTTTGGGAATTTTTTCATAAAACATTTATATTTTGGGATTTAAAAAAAAACATGTGTATTTTGGGATTTCCTTCTCGCTTGCCTGCATCATTTACGAATCCCTCCTGCCTTTTATCTATTTCATGATGTACCCCTGTCTACTCAAACTTGCTCAACCAACTCCTTTCAGCGCTAACGGAGTTCAATCACCCGACTCATACACTATGATTTCGAAAATACTAAACCCGAACCTTGCAATAAAAATAAGAACCTACAATCTGTTTATAATTGGACTGGATCGGATTAACAATACTTTTAAGTAAAAATCCAACTCAACAGAAAAATGTAACTATTTTACACAACAAAAAATATAATATAACTAGTTAAAATTTCAAACAAATAAACCAAGTTGAAAAGTATAAAAAAGCATGGATGTTATTTGTTTATAATTGCATACGAGAAGCTGCAGAGAAAATACAAGAATGAAGTCTCGATTTCATAACGAAAAGAGAGGGAAAGCTAGCCCCAGTTTAAGATGCTGGTCAAGTAATTACTAATGCCTACTTCTGAGACTTAATCGGCCATAGACTTATGTGAACAAAATCCCCGACTTCGTGCCCTGATCAATGCATCATAAACAGTTTCTGCGCAAGCGCATCAACTAATAGAGTTTCCAGAGAAGGTGTGATGGGGCTTCATTCGGCATGAGATACTTAAACCTTAATCACGCATGTACGTGGTCACCGGCCGTGCCGCCCAGGGCTAGCACGGCACGAGCACGGGCACGAAATAAATGGGTCAGCCCGGCACGAGCATGAATAATTTATGGATCGTGCGGGCCTAAACTTCATGGGCACGAGCACGGGCACGACACGGTATATAAGTGGGCCGTGTCGGGCCTAATATTTTCAAGACTTTATTGTGTAAAAGAACGGACATGGTACCAAAATAATATTTATTTGATAGAAAATAAATATGAAAAGAATTATAGGTTAAAATATTAAAAAACACAAGTAGAAAAATAATTATTTGTTGTTGTTAGAAGCGTCATAAAGATATATACGTAATTACTAACATAAGTAAAAATGGACAAAGAATTAAACAAACCCAAATCACACTCGCTATACTTCCAATTTTCTTTTCCCGCTTATTTGTTACTTTTCTCAAACATTATCGGTTAATACTATCTTCCCCCGTCCAATTTTCACCTTCTTTTTCATTCTCTCTTTTGTTTTCGTCATTTTCATTAAACACGAATACGAGCATGGCACGAGCACGAATAGGCACTGTACGATTCGAACCGTGCCCGAGCCCGGGTCGGGCCTAGCAAAATTAACAAATGGGCTTGCATGGCACGACACAAATACTGGCGGGCCGTGTCAAGCACGGCACGAAATAAATGGGCCCGAAGCGTGCCCGTATCGTGCCGGCCCAAGCACGACCCAGCGCCCATGTACAATCTCACGCACCAACTTTTAGTTGTACTAGTTTTTTGGCATGCGGCGAAGCCGCGGTAACCAACTCATAATTTAGGTGAAATCAAAGAATTTATTAATTATTTGAGTTAAGTAACTCCGTAAGTTTTACATAGTCTCTTAATTATTGTGAATATGCAATGTTTTATTACTATGGAAGACCTACCGTAATATGTTTGTTTAATTGATACATAAAAATCATTATCATTCCATAAAATTTGTGTAATATATTAATCATTAGAGAAGAATTCTATAATATCTTTGTTTTACTGGTACATAACAGATCGGGTTAATTGCATGGATGGTCACTGAGATTACAAAAAACGTTCAACTTTGGTCACTCGAAATCCTTTGTAATCTCAGTGACCAACCATGCAATGATTAAATGTTGAATATTTTAGTTTAAAATGATTGAATTTTAGGTAATAATAAAGGAATTACATAACCAAAATATCGCATTTTATTATATGTAGAATAGCTTAACTTACATATCCTTTGTGTAATGCAAATTGATGAGATGATCATAGGTTTAGTTAATAATAAAGAAATTATCATTCAAACTTATATTCTGTGTACAAAATATGTTTGTTTAATTGATCAATTTAAAAATTATTATCCTTCCATAAATCTTACATAATTTCTTAATCATTACGAAAGACTTATGTAACATCTTTGTTTAGTTGATACATAAGAAATCACTATTCCTCTATGAATTTTACTAATGTATTTGTAATTTCTATAACTGTTAAAGATGTTGTTACATAAATCTTGCATAAAGTGTGGTCTAAGAAAAATACCCATCGGCAATTTTTTTATCCAAAACCTTTATATAATGCAAATAAAAATGAGGCAAAATATAGTTGTATATCCACAACTATCATGTTTGTGACAAATATATCCACAACTATCGAAATACACGAAATATCCAATTCCGTCCAATGCTCTAACGACGTCAATTAACAATCTGACTGGATTGACGAAATGGGCTGAGTCGGCGATATTTGGTCCCACCATTACACGTGGATAATGAAAAAAAAAGATAAAAATCCTTCTTTTGCTCTTCCCATCGTCATCTCATCGTCTCCCCACCTCTCTCCTTTTCTTCCTCATCACCCCATCTTCGATCTCTCTCAGTTGCCCTCGCTGTGTCCGATGATGCAGAAGAAGTTGGATTTTCGGCCACACATCTCACTTATCCCACCCCTTTCGCCATGTCGTTCACGTACGCAATCGCCTCCAAGAACCAACACAAACGGCTCTATTGAATCTTGGTTTTTGGGTTGAAGTTCAGAGGTCAAATCGAAGTCGGAAATGATTCCATTCAAATCGAACTTGGAGACTTTGAGCTCGAATCTAGGTTTCTGACTGAAGCTCGAAGATTGAATCGTAGTTAGAGGCTGAAGCTCGATGCCGATTCGTTCACATCGAACTTTTAGGCTCAGAGGTCGAATTGGGTTTCTGTGGTGAAGCTGAATCTGTCGCAATGGCCCTCCTTGCCCTCGGTTGATCTTCACTAGCCCCATCTTTAGTAGTCAATCGGTCGTTGAGGACCTCGACGTCGCTAGGAGAGATATTGAGACAAGAACTTCCCTTTCAAGCAGCCGCCGAAGGACTCCGGGAGGGCGTCGAGTTTGGGCATCTCGGTGAGTTCACTGGGAATTGAGCCGGCTGAGGGAGGACGCCGTCAGGTCTTCATCCATCCACGGTCGATGTGGGGGGTTTTCTCATCTTCTGCTTGATGCGATTTCGCGGGTTTTCCAATCCTCTGCTTGCTTTGATTTGGGGTTTTTTTTCATCGGCGGTGGGATTGGTTTTCGTCTGAGAAAGAAACAGAAAGTCGATTGAGCAAGTGGGCAAGCCCAGATCGTCGATTGAGAAAGCAAAAGACCAAGATCGATGTCGGCGACGAGAGCGTGAGAGGAAGCTAAAGGAGGAAACAAAGCTCGCCCTTGGGATTTGGCCACTTGGTAACGAAGCTCGCCGTCGGGATAGTGTGGCCGGAAATATGGGGTTGATCTCCGAAATTTTAAATTTTTTATTAATTAATTTCTGACGTGTCATTTAACTCTAATATTATGTTGATTTGTTGCTGAGGTGGATGGTGATTTGGATCCTAGTCAGCATTCCGTCACAATAATTAACGGGTTCACTAACACCATTATAGTTTCAGATGGAAGTGGATAGATTTGTCACATAACCTTCCGAGTTTTGGATATTTCATGTATTTCAATAATTGTGGATATATTTGTCACAAACGTGATAGTTATGGATATACAACTGTATTTTGCTAAAAATTAACTTATGATAAGAAACTAATTAAATATAAAATGTAACCTATCCATTTGATGATTTAGTTAAAATCAAATAATTCGAAAATTGTAAAATACGTCTATAAGTTTACATAGTCTCTTAATCATATACATAGTCTCTTAATCATATGGTAGAGTTACATAATACATTTGTTTTATTGATACATAAGAAATAACCACCTCGGATATAAGTTTTGTGTATGTCATATCAAACAAAATAATACCTTAACATTTAACATCGAATTATATTAAACAAAAAGAGAGCTTATAATAAACTCCAGTACAGGGAATAAAACAGTTGGAATTTTCTACAGTAACTTGAATTTGTGATAAAGCACTAGGGAGTGCTTTTGATCAGAATACGCAGCTCACACACACAATCGAACGATAGATGATGGATCGGTAGAATTCTCGCCACAATCGAGGTGATTAATCGATTGATAAGAGAACTTGCTAAACGATTCTGGAATCCACTCAGAATAGCTTCACAAGGGTCTTTTAATTAGCTAAGGAATCCACTCGTAGCTAATGACAATGGGTAAACTCTCGAGACGCAACTCAAGAACTCAAACACTCGATTTGTATTCAATTCAATCAACTCTACCATTACAACGAAAACTAGAGGGCTTTTATAGCCAAAGAAAACCTAATACAATTCTAAACTAACAAGGAAACTAATTAGAACAGGAAAAGACTAAGGAATTCGTGTAAAACAAGGTAACTTGTTGGCCAAGAAACTGACTTAAAACGCAAGCAAGTCTGCCTAGGAAAACAGGCTTTGTAGCATCTTTGAGCCCTTCGAAAATGGTCTTCTAGGTCGATTCAAACTCAACCAATTCCTTGTCTTTGTAGAAGAAAACTTTCTCTTTCACCTCCAACTTGAATCAGCCTGAGATCATGCTCCAAACTCCAGATATAGGCCTTCAAAGTTGGTATTTCAAAACAGTTTTCTGCCTTAGCCAAGTTTAGGCAGTTTTCCTGTTTTGAGGTAGCTTTTTGATGGGCTTTGAAATTGACCTTCCAAACATCTCCTTGAGCCCCAAAACATACCAATGTAAAAATAATAACATTATCTTCAAAACAAGCTCTTGATCGCCCATTTTGATTGAGCCATTTGTGAGATACAAGCTTCCAAAGTAGGCTACCTGAAACTGTTTCAACACTTGGCCAAAAATCAGAATTCTTCAAGTTAGTTGAGATGACTTCTTTGGCAAGTAATTGTGAATTGTGGTCACCATTACGTAACAGTCGTAAAAGATCATTACGGAAGCCTTACGTAATAGAATGTGTCTTTAAGTAATGTAACCTTGCGCTACGTAAAATGCTAAGTCATTACGGAAGCCTTATGTAACGCTACTGATTTAACTGTTACGTAAGAAATAATTGTCGTTCCGTAACCTTTACGTAATGAAAGGTCTTTTTACGTAATGACTATTAACCTCGCGTTACCTAAAGTGTTAAGTCATTACGGAAGACTTACGTAACGCTTCTGATTTAATTGTTATGTAAGAAATACCTATCATTTCGTAACTTTTACGTTATGAATGAAAGTTGTAAAATGTAATTACGGAAGCCTTACGTAATGGAAGGTCTCTTTACATAATGAGTATTAATGTCGTTTTACGTAAAGAGCTAAGTCATTACAGAAGCTTTACGTAACTCTTCCGATTTCACTGTTACATAAGAAATAACTATCGTTATGAAACCTTTACGTAATGGAAGGTCTCTTTACGTAATGAGTATTAACCTCACGTCACGTAAAATGCTAAGTTTTTATGCAAGCCTTACGTAATGCTTCTAATTTAGTAAGAATTTAAATATGGAAAGGATTAAATAAGGAAAAACAAATAAATGTGAAAAAGGAAGGAAAAAACAATAAAGGTAACTTACAAAGGTGGTGACCGGCAACCCTTGTTGCAAATGTTTTTTTACTTATTTTTATTTATTTATTTCTTTAATCAATGGTTTAAAAATAAGTTTTATCGGTTTTAACGGTTTAGATCTATGCAAGTTACCTAAATTGAAATTATACCCAAATTAGTGTAGGAGATCCCTAAAACAGTTTTGTGAACAATAATGCTCACAAAAATTGGTAAGAATTGGTGCGACCTTTATTAGGCTGAGGATACGGTGGTCAGTAACTCACCCGAAGTCGTAGATCTAGGACGGAGCAATCATGTGGGTAGGATTGATGTGGGGTGGACAGAGTTAGTGTCTTTTCTCTGGCTTTTTGAATTTTTGTCTACTTTGAAAATAAAGGTATTTTTGTCTGCTTTTTGAATTTTTAATTGTTTTTTAATTTGTCTAGCATTTATTACCTGACTTTTCAATAGAGTAGAGAGAGTTAGTGTCTTTTCTCTAGAACTCTCTTTTCCTCTTTTTTTTTTTTTTGTTGTTTATTTCTCTCTCTCAAGCTCCTTCTCCATATCTAATCTATTCTTAGTTCTTCATTTTTTCGCTCTAGCAATCGATGAAGTAAAAGTGCAGTCTCCTTCTTTTGTCAAGTCCTCGACTTCAAAATTGGTGACGCTCCATATCAACCAAGAGGGGACAGATCTAGGTGAGTCGAGTTTGCATGTCTTATGTTTTAGTATTTGTTTGTGGATTTTCAATTTCGATCTTCCTCTTTTTTTTCTTCTTTTAGTGTTCTCGATTGCGTAGGAGGAAACAAGAGGAGGCAGGAGAATAGCATGTGAAGTATGTCTTAGTTATATGTATATTGTTGTTACCATACTATACCATGATGATATTGTACATGTGGTAATTGGATGTGTATTGTGGTTACCATACTATACCATATGGTAATGTCAATGTGTGGTAACTTGATGTATGCATATGGTTACCATATTTTACCATGATAGTAGAGGATGATAATCGACAACAATTCAGAGAAAGAAGAGTTAGAAGACAATGAAGGGGACAAGAAAGCGAACAAATTCGTAATTATATATATACCACACTATATCATATGGTAATGTGTGGCAACTAAATGTATTTTTATGCATACCATAATTTGCTATGGTCGAAGAGGGTGGTAATTATATTTATATTTGTTGTTAGGCTAAATTACATGTTTGGTCACTCAAATTATACAAATCTTTCATGTTTGCCACCTGAATTACTTTTGTTTCTTAGTCGCCACTAAGTTTACGAATCGTATCACCATTAGTCACCGGCCGTTACTCTCAGTTAAATTTGTCCTACGTGGCAGTCAACTATTAAATTTGACTGTTAACTTGATGACGTGGAAATAAAAAATAAATTTATTTTCCACCTCATTATCCCACATACTTTATCTAAGGACTTTTCATATGAATTATTTAATAAAAATAATTAAATTAAAAATAATTAATAAAAATCATTAGAAGAGTTTGGTGCGTCCATAGCACAACCTAGCATGTTTGGTGCGTTTAAAGCCGATGCTTTTCAGTCTAAGGAGCAAGAGGCATCCGAAAGCGATGTTGCATCAGAAGAGTTTGGTGCGTCTGACAACAACCATGTTGGGAGCTACAAAAAACACTCCCTTATGGATGAGAGCACATGTGGTTATGGAGGTAAGAGAAGATGCTTAGTTACTTCGCCTTGCTTCTTTTGTGATGGGCATCATCGTGTGTGTGATTGCCCGAAGCGGAAGGAGATGTCTTCCATGTTTGTAGACGATTACTCAGCAAATGAAGAGGGGGAGGCTTTAAGTGTGGAGAGCCAGCCTTCCGAGTTGGACAACCTAGAGGTGATGGTTGCAACAAAAGGAGAGGAAGGCAATCCTTATGTCGATGAGGGTCGAAACTTCGAAGAAGTGACGCTCGACGAAGGGAGGATGGCAGCCTTGGTATGGGACAAGGTTTGCGATGAGCTTCTTGACAGGAATGCAACAGTGAGGCTTGGCATTCCGCATGAAAAGAGGAGAAGGAGGCGATCGTTGGTGCCATTAATGGGAGAGGCACCTAATGCTTTGAAGGCTTAGGCGGCGAAGCAATCCAAGGTAGCAAGGGCGAGACCTAAGATGATACATATGAGGTGTTTATGGTCTCGGCGCAAGAGAGCGAGGGCGAGGAGATCACGAAATCTTGGAGGAGTGGAACTTGTGCAAGGGCCAGGGCCACCCTTGCCTCACAATGAAGCATATCATTACCACACCAACAATGTTTCCGACGCGAAGAAGGCGCCATGACGAGGACGTCATGAATTTGGTGGGGGAGAATGTCACGGGAAAATTCTAGAATGCTCTAGAAAGATGTAGGTGCGTGCATGTATCTCTAGATTCATGCACTCATGCACATGCATCCTCCCTATTTATTATGATTCATGTATGGGTGAACATACATTCACCTTATAAATTATCATTCATGTAATGGGGCTAGTTCATGTATGGGGGGACTTCTAGGTTCGTTCATTTATGACGGCCTACATAAATTGTACCTTGTGGAGAGGATGCATATATAAGCAGTCCTCTCCCTCATTTTTCATTCATCCAGAAATTGAGAGTTTCCATCTCTAGAGCTTTTCTCCATACTTGTGAGTTTGAGTGAATACGAGCAAGGCTGACTTAGCGCTCTAACGAGACTTGAGTGCTAAGTGCTGCACGACCAAGAGTTGGTCCGTGACAGGGTGCGGGGCAACGCTCCCGGCCCGCGGTGTATGGGCTCAATGTTATTTGGGTTCGGGTTCTGAGCCTGGTTTGTAACCGTTTCTTTTGCCAGATTGGATTAGGTTTAGACCGACATGGAGAAGTACTAAATACTTCTCATACTCCTCTGTAATCTGTAATCTCCTCGATATAGTGAAACTGGTTCTCTCTCACCCGTGGACTAGCTAACACACATCGTGTTAGTGAACCACGTAAATCGTGTGTCTGTGTTTTTTCGATTCTCGCTTTCATATTCTTGCTTTATCGATTCTAGCGATTTCTCGATCCGTAGCAGCGCGTTTATAGCAGTAACATATATGCAAAACCAAGTTTGCCTAATATGACTCAACCAAAAGGTGATTTGTAATTACCAAGGTTCAGTTCGGGGAAGACGGTGAGCAAGGTTACGCAGTCGCCGGGGTGGACGACCCGAGTCAGAGCCCAAGCCAGAGGAGTCTTGGAGTTCACTTTCTAGGCTTTGACAGCGACTACCACTCTGTCGCGTGTCGCGCACGCCTCGGCGGTGGACGGCGGGAAGGGATATTCGATTTCTGGCGGAAATATTGTGGTGGTGGTTAGGAGGAGCTCTGGAGGATGGCAGTTGCAGGGGAAATTGATGAAGAGAAGCTGAGGGATTTGGGGAGCCGGAATTCGGAGAGGGGAGATCCAATCCTTACACTTTCCTCCTCTCAATCTCACTCAAACGTCCAATTCGAATCCGATGATGAGAAAGAGAATCTTTGCTTAGTGCTGCATAGGGTGTGGAACAACCTAGATTTGACTTTGTCCACCCCGGCGACTGCATAACCTTGCTCGCCGTCTTCCCCGAACTGAAACCCGGTAATCACTTATTTTTTTCTCACTCAATTCTTCAACAACACACCCGCTGTTGACTAAATGAGAGGTAGCTAACCAACTTCTCGGAGAGACATAATTCACTGTATTGATATCAGTAGCTACACCACCTACGGAATTTAACGAGTCTAAAGGCGCATGAGTCATATATTCCGCAGAACGTCGTTCTTGCCAAGATTGTATATCTTTTTTTAACCAACTCAAGTCCAAACCATTTGGGCCCCTTAAAGGTTCTAACCAAGGAGCACGCAGATCCCAAAAACACATAGTTTCTCCCCAAAAAATAACTTCTCCGGTAGGTAAATGCATTAGATATTTACCCTAACATGTAGGTCCTTCAACTGATCCCACATTAGCCACTAGACGTTGGTCTCTAACTAGAAAAGTTAAAGCTTGAGCTTAAGAAGATTCTGGTCTTGTGGGTCCGTAAAACTCACTCGGATAAGCGTATTATTGAACCAGACAAAGCAACAAGCAATGAAATAAAAAACAACTAAAGCACCTAAACTATAAGACAAGTAAGCTTCTCCCGACCAAACAAGTGCACGGCGAGCCCATGCAAAGAGTTTGGTTAGGATATGTCAGATTCAACCAAATATACAAATGGAACCCAACCATAAATGACCTCCAATTATATCTTTCAAATCCTCCACACTAACAATCCACCCTTCTCGCCCAAAAGGGAATTTTAGTAAATAACAAAAAAAATACTTGGGTTAAGTGTAAAGTTGGTAATTTTTCTTACATCCCCCAGGACGCCTAGGTATCATATACACCCCCAAGACCTGGCAAACGGGTCGGGTAGGGTAATTTCGGGTTGAGAACTTTGGTTACGGGTCGGGTCATGTTTGGTTGGCTTATTTCGGGTCAAATATTGACCCAACCCATTCGGTTTCGGGTCGGGTTACAGGTCATTTCGGGTTATGAGCGTTCTCAGAAACAATATCAAACATGCTTCATATTTTCTCAAAGAACACAAATTTTCACATATGCATGACAATAGTTTACCTAACACATGTCAATTAACAAATTCTCAAATCCTACCACGCTAATGAAATGAAATATAAATTGCGCAAATCATCAAAAAACAATCACAAGATTAATACTACTACAAGAAACACATGATATTTGATTATCCTTAAACTCCAAACATGTCATTCAAATCCTTGAGAAATTTTGTAAACATATCACCAATTTATGAGTGATTTTATCATATTTTGGGAGTAATATATTAAATGGAACAGGTCTAACGAGTCGACCCGCTAACCCACCCAACCCAACCCAAAAAATCACGGGTTATCGGGTTCGGGTCATTCGGATTTCAGGTTACAAAAAATTCTAGTTTTCGGGCGGTTTCGGGTCGGGTCAACGGGTCGGGTTGTGATTTGCCAGGTCTACCCAAAAAAAGAGCATGAATACTAGAAGAAAATCGGCAATACCTAGAAAAATTAAATGAATACCTAAAATTGTTGTCATTGTATTTCTATCTTCCCATACATAACCCAAAAAAAGGAAAAGACTCTTCAAGAGTCTCGGGTCGCAGAAGTGCATGATAAATACCACCAAATCCCTTGTCAGGCCATCCAATTTCCGATCGGGGATCATCATCAGGGACAGGAGATGGCGTCTAGGAGCCCTCCCCCCCCCCCCCCCCCCCCCCCCCCCCCCCCCCCCGGTCAGAGTGCTTCATTCCCCCTATCTGGGACCAAGAGTAATGGCCGGAGAATTTTCCCCTTGCAGAATAAGTGGAAACATTGTGTTTTTTAAGATCCCTGATCAAGTATCCACTTCCCCGACTACAGAATATGATCAGGGAAGCCCGAATTGCGCTGATACAAGCAAAACACGGGATTTTGGAAGGGGAGCCGGATTTTGAGAGCTAAAATAGAGTTCTAGAGAGAGAAAGTGACAAAGAGTTATCCATGAGATCCCTAATGCAAGTCTTCCCATCATTGGAGCTTGATTCAAGCCTAGACGAGTGATTGTCAATCTTGAGCAGATTCCTTCCGTCGACATGATGATTTCTACATCCAGTATTGCTTTTCCACTCTCTCTCTAAGGAGTAATCTCCTCTATCACTTGGGTATTTAAGAACCCTAGAGTTGTATGTTAGAAAGATTTGTATGAACCCTTTATCATGAAGGAGTGATTATCTTTTATCCAATTGATGCATTATTTAGAATTGCATGAGTTCTGATCAAATTCTTGTGATTTCTACTTTGACCTAGAATAATAATCTCTACATAGGTTAAAAGAGAAACCTGAACTGGAGGTTGTGAATAGACTTTAGTCAAGAAGTCGACTCACTCCTCTATACCGGTGTAAAATACAATAGAGGAAGTTTGAACCTTAATTGCTATTCGATTAGATTATGTGTATCCTCAGTGGTTCAGTTTCACTTTGGATGCTGAGTAGTGAACCTCTCAACGCAATCCTCACTAGTCTTTGTCCTTGATCGGTTTTATATGGCTCTTTACTCTTCAGACATGAGAATCTCCACAGGCTACTGGTCCTTCGGTGGCTTCCATGCTCCGACATCGCATGGATCATCGTTAGAGCCACCGACACGATCTTAGAGTCGGGTGAAGGACCACAACGGTCATTCACCACGAGGAATATGAAGAGGATGAGGAATATCATCATGATGCTTCCGTACAAAAAAAAAAACAAAGAAGGATCCTGCATTTGAGTCTCCATCATCTGAAGAACTACCTGGTTAGTCGTCCTCTGTAGGGAAGTACTAAATTTTTTATGGTATTATTTGAGTATAAGATGAATAACAGAAGCAGTCGCCATCTATAGGCATTGGAGTTTGGAAGGGAAGAAGAAAAAAAGGAAGATGAGGAGGAAACGGAAAAAAAATAAACAGGAATGCTATTTTCCGGGGAGGGAAACCATAGTTGTGTATGTTCTTAGTCGAGAAGTAGATGAAGGAGAGATGTAAGAAGACGAGCGAGGAAGCAGAAAAATAGTTTAGGAGGCTGAGAAAGATGATTATGTGAGCTTCCTAGTGGAGAAGGAGGAGAAGAAACACGCAATAATCATATAGATATAACATATTTAATTAACCTATGTCATATAACATTCATATAACAATATATGTCCTGCATAATCTATTTATCTACCTCATTCCAAATTTATTAATTGGCAACAGTTTTCCAACGGTAGGTACAAATAAAAATAGAAAATTCACCATCTATAAACTTTAATTTTCTCTGGTATAAGTCCTGGAACTTTGTTCACCGGAATATAACATAGCATAACCATGTTGTATTCACCACCTTCCCGCACCAATATATTACATGGATTTTTAATGCCCTAGTTTGTTATTATGATACAAAAATCATCACCTCCCTGCACCAATATGTCTATACCCGGGGTTGCATAGTTGGTTTGAACTTAATTGTTATTCGATTGGATTATGTGTATCCTCAGTGGTTCAATTTCACTTTGGATGATGATTAGTGAATATCTCCACGCAATCCTCACCATTCTTAGTCCTGGATCATTTTTCTCAGGGCGTCATAGTTTGGGCGGGAAGATAACGAACAAGAACTATATATAAGAAAGATACAGTATTTGAACAGTAGGCACTAGTATATATTTTGTAGGAACTTGAAGCTCCATTACATACTACCCCTATAACAAGTAA